GAGAGAGAGAGAGAGAGAGAGAGAGAGAGAGAGAGGCACAACCAAAATCTTATTGTTGATACTGCGACGTCATTTAAGTTATCAACCTCTTTGTGCGTCAGAATGACTGTATCTGTATTGTCAGGCGGCACGGGTTCGCATAGTCACAATAAAAAAAAAAAAAAAGCAAAGAAAAACTTGGAAGATGTCCCCGGCCATCACCTCGAAAAGGTTGGCTACTTCGGGCCAATCAACTGGTCAAGCCACCGGTCTTTATGTAACAAATGTCCGCAGTAGTGAACTTCCTTCGCATCCTCCTTTGACGACCTCAACGGTCAAGCCAGCGGTCAATCCGTCCTCATCATTAATGTCAGTCTGCTCTTCTCTCGTTCTCGTCATGTCCCCGACTTTCGTTTTTCCCTTAATGCCAGATGACTCTTCGATTATCAACTGGGGAGACTTTGCTTCCCCCTCTGTCATTATATCGTACGTTTCCGCGTACCAAGGATCCCTCAACATTTTCTGCCACCTCTTTGCTGACCTCTCACTGGTCAATGGCAACAACGGTTCGCTTGCCACCTCTCTGCGGTGCTCTTCGTCTTTATTTTCTATCCTTGGACCGATGACCGATTCTGTACCCACATATGACCACTTCGCGCCGCCACCACACACTTTTCTGTGACTCTGTCGTACTCGCTCGACTTCTATTACCTGCACCCTGTTATTCAATGTTCTGTGTCGCTCCTTCCCGAACGCTTCGCGACGTCGTAAGTTTCTGTTCCTGTTCACACGTGTCGGTCAAAATGGAATGACACAGACGATTTGTTAAGTTTTTTAACAACTTGAAATCGTTATTATATGATACTTTGGAGAGAGAGAGAGAGAGAGAGGTTGGTTGGTTACTGCGTGCCAAAACTGAAACGATGTCACTGTTGACCACGTAAATGTCACGCAGTAGTGAACGTTTGGGGACACTTTCGTCTCGCATGTGGTTTTCACCGCTTCATAAGCTTAGCCACATTTGACATGATATTTCTCAACAAATAACGGAAAGAAAGAAACGAATGTCGTCTCTTGTTCCCCTATACTTCGAAAGAAACAACATGACTATCCCGTGGCGACGACAGATAGAAACTCACTCTCTCTCTCTCTCTCTCTCTCTCTCTCTCTCTCACTCATAGCAAGCATAGAAACTTTGCATTTGTTTCTTCTACAATATGTACTTGTTCAAATAAAAACAGTCCTCACTCTGTTTTGCATGATGCGTCGATCCCCATTGTGGTTTAAAGAAGTGCGGAACAATGTGAACTATGTCTATAATAGTGTCGGTCGAAACGACGCTACTGTGTTGATGTCCATTCCACCTCTCCCATTTAAAATTCTTGCAACCTGTCATGTGTTGTCGTTCACTGTCGACCTCCTTGTACCATTGCACAAATCCGCAACTGTGTTCCATATTACCACTGTCCGCGAGTGCGTCCAAGACAAAAAACATGGCTACTGATGCAAACCATGTGCATTCGTTGCCTGCTCTAATTGCGACGTCACTATGCACTGGTCTCCCATGGAACTGTGGCGACGCTCTTGCAGTTTGAACAAGTGTGCCCCTGTTTGTTTCATCCTGTACGCAGGCGATGGCCAGGTGTGTCCGTGTGTGTATAAGCAGGTCGTCAGAAGGAGGTTGACAACCATTCTCCATCATGTATGTCGCAAGCGCAGCTCGAAAATCGCGTCTGCAAGGAAGCTCTTTGAGTATCTTACACGCATGGTTGTCAATGCCTTCTCCCTCGCGTATATACTCGTCATCGATGTCGAACCACCGCAGTTGCATTATTGTCGTATCGCGTAGTGCGAGGGTGTTCATTCCGGTGGTCATACAGTCTGTCACGGAGAACCGGTTCTCAACCGTTCTCTTCCTCTGTTTCCTCATGATCCCGATCTCTTCATGCAACGCCAATGACCGGCGAACGTGGTTTACCAACTGGGTTGAAGCTTTCCGCTTGTTTGATGATAGGTATGGTTCTTTGCAGAATTTTCTGTGGTGATACTCCCAAACATCTGTTGCGAAGGTGTCGGGGACACCGGACCGCTTAATACACGTTGTTAGATGCATGAGATCGTGCAACTTGGGGAGTTTTCAGGTTGAGGGTTGATATTTTCTCAATTTTGCTTTTATGGTCGTTATGAAGTCCGAAATCAAAGCGTCTCATTCATCGAGCGAAGCACGAGTGTGTGTTGTACACCGAAACACTCGTATGTACATTTCCATCAGTTTCACAAAACAAACGGTAATGCCCTTGCCTGTCGAGCGCGAGATAATATTAGAAATAACGAACACGCACACTGTCATCACATACCGGTTTTGCTTTGCCTCGAACCGTCCCTCCCTCGAAAAAAAGTCGCTGCCAGTAGCCACCGGCAGCACAAGTTGGGGGTATGTTCGCGTGCATCTCTCACTAACGCTTTGCAACCTTGCATCTAGTCCCTTCAGGATCTCTGTTTGCGGTAAGTGCAGCAACTTCTCAAAGGCCGCAGTCCTGAATACGTCAATCATGTGCAGGAATATGTCGTGCTCGATTGTGTGCATACGGTCTGGTTGCAATGTCAGGTGGTAGTCTAGCCGAGGATCGTCACCAGTGGGGCCCCTGTAGAACCCCCAAAGGTCGTTCTGTTGAACATGCCTATACGTCGATGTCGTCGGCGGTGAACACATCTGCTATGAGGTGTGTTTCCAGCGTCTGTGATCTCCTGCAGTCTGTAAAATCGGCTATGACATCAAAATCGTTTTTGGACATGGTGCATGTCGGACATACACCAAACTTCACAGTTGCAATCGCACATTGTTCTGGGTAGTCCTGGATATAGTTGAGGAGGAAATGGTGGACAGTTATGTCCCCGAATCGCGTTGTCGGTATCATTATTCCGTCATGAGATGCGTCCTTCACAGACTGCAACACCACTAAAAGGGCCTTGTGCAAAATGATGGTCTTTCACTTTCTGAATGCGGTGGACTGCGGACCCCATCCTTGACCCCATCCTTTGTCACATGGACGATGATGAAGCACAGGAAGATAGGCCAGCAGTGTGGCTTCGGATGCGTGGTCGGCTAGTGACATCATCAGAGGGTACGCCGTCTGTTTTTGACGACCGTCTGTATGTTTCTTGTTGGAATACAATGAAAGAGGGATAACATAATGTGGATTACCATTCTCATCCACACCTTTGTCCGCTCGAATGATCGACTGGATGTGATAACTTAGCGCCCCGCTGCGTGGGCCGGATATACTGAGGTGCTCTGACAGCGGAGACACTTCTAGAGAAGACACCGTCTCGCATTTCTGTAATGCGATATGAAAAATCGACAGAAATGTCATTCGCCAATCGCGGTGCCACAAGATGGCGTGCGCATCTCGTGGCCAATCGTCACAACGTAGATCCAACTCTTTTCATCCAGCACCCTCTGCTAGACTCTCTGCCCATGTCAAACACTCTCGACTATTACGATACGCGATGTCTCTGTTGTTGAATCTCGGGTGTGTGAGAAGTGACAAGAGAGCATTTATGTCACTCTGCGACATACCGACGCTGCCCCTGGCAGAGAAAATCAGTGTCGCCAGCTTGCGAGAGCTGTCAAAAGACTCGACAGGCCGCGGTTGCTGCTCTTTGAATGTCCCGCCCTCCCCGTCTACATTCTCGGGGGCCTCGACGTCCTCACTCTCATCGCTCACGAGATTCACTGCACCTATACTTGATAGTCCTGCGTCATCGACCACACCCACCTCCTTCCCATGTGTTCTTTCGTCCGCCACGGCCGGGCATGCCCTCGCACGATGTGAGCTCACAGTTCGTAATGACATGAAAGGTCTGCCACAGTCGCACACTCGTGGACCGCTGTCCATTTTCTGTGCACGCAGTGCATTCCAAAAACAAACAGAGCGGTGTGGACACTGTTTTGATTAGTATTTTGTACATTGGTTCAAGTCGTTTAAATTATAAGTTGCAGAGCATATTTTGTTATATTGTGTAGGTGTTGCACATCCTCTTTTCTGTGAGAGAGAGATAGAGAGGGAGTACTGATTGCCGTTTTTGGTACGAATGGTCTGTGTCGCTGATCCCTATTGACAAAGATTAGTAGTCAACCGTGCGACACCATAATTTATATGCCATGAAAGGTTCTATGGTCGTGTTGGAAGAGGCAACGACTTACATATGGTACACGATATATGACACAATATTCATCACCACGTTTGTGTGGTTGTCCAAGTTCACAACTATCTATCCACGACGTTTGTGAATGTGGTATGTGTTTTCTATGTTCGCGTGAAAATTATTGCATCTCGGCACCTCAGCCGACCTCCAAAACCACTTCCAAAACATTTCACAACCTAGTACATTTGAATTTAAATTACAGAGAATGCAAAAAAAAACACAACATACACACATTGGTCATCACAGGGGGTCTGATGTGTCTCACGTACTGCAAAAGGCAACAAACTATGACATACATCGTAACAATCATCAAATGATTGAAATATTGTTCAATCCTGTGTCTGCATGCTGTAGTGAACCGCATGTACTTGGAGTGGCAAACAACAGGCAGCATGACACAAAACCTGCATATGGATGTACAGGTTCTAATATAGCTACAACTCGACATATGAGAGAGAGAGAGAGAGAGGTTCACTAGTGCGGGCCAGAACAACAACAAACAGTACCGGTGGACACTGATATGACACGCAGTAGTAAACCCGACCGTCGTTGAAATTGAAGCAGACATTAAGGGATGTACAGGTTGAGGGATGTACAGGTTGAGCTTCTCATGCGTATCAAAACGTATATGCACTGGTTGTTTGTACTACGACTCTATTGCTCTATGCTATGCATGTCTCATCATCCCTGATGTCTAACATGATCTGTCGTAGTGTGTGGGTGTGTCTCCGGTTGCTGCCGTGGCCGAGCACTAACTATTGCGTCTCCTGTTGACAAGCCGGGGTGCAATGTCTCTCCCCAAGCTGTCGTTATTGCGCCATGTATGAGGCAACTCAGGTTGACTCCCCATGTCAGTGACGTTGTTAGCCTCTCTATTGACCAGAACAAACCATGCCTTGCCAAAACGTGACCACTTTTTTCCGTTGTTGCATGATTTCATTATGCTGGTCACTGCGGCATACTGTAGTGCACCATCCGGTGTTGCCCCCTTCATCACAACACGCAACACTTTGTGCGGATCGGGAAAAACATGTACCAACCTCAGAATTGCATGTGCCCACCCTTTTGTCACTTGTCCACCCGCCCCCTTCAAATCATATTATACATCATGTTCCTCGTCTTTCTCATCGTTGCTGACATCTCTGTCGCTCACTTCCACGTCAGAAGATGATGCCCCATTATCCTCTTCTCCATCTTCTTCTTCTGCATTGTCTGTGTTCTGCAAAACAACTTGGCAAATCGGTCTCTTCAAATCCACGATCACACTGTTCTTTCTCCATTGTTAAAGCATTGACGATATCGGAATACACTAGCTCCTCTCTCGTTGTTGTGTGCATGAGAGGCACATCGACTGCCATACTGGTTATTGATTCTTATGTTGCTGATGTTTGTCCGTTGTCTTGAATGATTGGTAAATTTGTTTCCCTGACCATCACCTTCCACCCTTCTTCTCTTTCTCTTTGTCTCTCAACATCGCAACTTGCAAGACCGAGTCACTCCAAAGCAGGTGATAATAATTCCCCCCACAACGGTATGCCAGATATGATGTTGTCTTATGTTCTTGCTGGCACAAATTCTATCAGATCTTGACCCTGCAGTGCAAACTCTGTGACTTCGTGCAACGCCTCATGGATGACGTTCCTGTCGTCGGCACTCTTTTTCAGGAGTCCACAAGTTGATCCAGCAAAACATATTCCACACCATCCGCAACAATGACAGGAACATTTTGAAAGTCTTCCGGCGATGTTTGTGTAATGTGCTTCTTTCTGGACAACACCAAGATTTCTGCAGCACCACTCTTCAACTCCTCCTTCGACCCATCAACAAGCATTTCCCCATTCCTTGCTACAGTCCCCAGCAACTTCTTGAAATCCGCAGGTTTATATGTTCCCCCTTTCTGCTGCATTGTCATGTCCACGTCTCCTTCTTCGCACATCCCTTCGCTGCACATCCACTGCACCACTCCTTTTAGACTGTATGCACTGTCTTCCACATCCTTGTCCACACGTACATGTGGTGACTCTCTGAAGCGCTGCAAGAGTGTTCGTGCTTTGACACAACCCTCGCCGTTTGCCATGATCGTGGATCTCATATCCACACCGACTGTGAAGTACCTCGGCACCCTGTCCTCAAGCAAAGACAACTCGCTGTCACCGTTCTAGTGGACGCCCTCCTTTGTATACTTCATTACCTCTGCAAGAGCAGCCTCCACCTGTGCTACTGACATCGACATGATGCGTACGGTTTGTCATTCGTCCTCTTCTCTCTGTCAGCAGAAACGCACAATGATGTCAACGACTCTCTCTATCTCTATCTCTCTATCTCTATCTCTCTATCTCTCTCTCTCTCTTTTTTTTTTTTTTTTTTTTTTTTTCTCTCTCTCTCTCCACCCATATTTGGGTGTGTGTGTGTGTGTGTGTGTGGCGTCTGTGTATGAACCAATGTGGATGTCTGTTTGTCTTTGTGTATATGTTTATGGATGTGTGTGTATGAATGGTCTGTGCGTGTGTCTTCGTGTCTGTTCCCAAGTTGGCTACTGCGTGCCATTCGAAGTCGCAACGGTCATCATTCGTCATTTTCTGGCACGCAGTAACCAACTTTAAGGGTGCATGCTAGAATGTGTTTGTGTGTGTGTGTATGTGTGTGTGTGTGCGTGGCGTCTATGTATGAACCTATGTGGATGTCTGTGTGTCTTTGTGTATATGTTTATGGATGTGTGTATATGAATGGTCTGTGCGTGTGTCTTCGTGTATGTTCCCAAGTTGGCTACTGCGTGCCATTCAAAGTCGCAACGGTCATCATTCGTCAGTTTCTGGCATGCAGTTGCCAACTTTAAGGGTGTATGCCAGAATGTGTGTGTGTGTGTGTGTGTCTTTCTGTATATGCCTGTGTGTGTGTGTGTATTTGTTATGTGTGTTTGCTTGTGCATGTGTTAGCGTGTCCGACTTCAGGTTGGCTACTGCGTTCCATTTGAAGTCACAACGGACCTGTGTGGTCTGTGTATGGCACGCAGTAGCCAACTTGAACGGTGCACGCCAGAATGTGTGTATGTGTCGGTGTGGCTGTGTGAATGTGTGTGTGTAACACAGGCTGTATGAGTATCGCTGTGTGTATGTGTATGTATGTATGGGCCCAGGTATTTCGAATCGCCAGTGTGTGTGTGTGTATGAATAACGCGGCTGTGTGTCTCTGTTTGTCTGTGTGTGTGATACTCTTCGCCCACAACAACCCCTGTTCTAACCATACAAGTACATACGTAGGAGAGAAATATCTAAATGGCAAAAGTTATAAGTAACAAAGGGCAGGAGGGGGAGGGATATGGGGAGCGAGGTACGTACGTCATTACAGTAGGAAAGAAAGAACGAGAAAGAAAGAGAACGAAAGAAAGAGAAAGAAAGAGAAAGAAAAAAAGAAAGAAGAAAAAAAAAAAAAAAAAAAAAACATGTTAGACAAAGAAAGAAAGAAAGAACGAAAGACAAAGAAAGAGAAGGAAAGAAAGAGACAGCCAGACAGACATACACACAGGCAGACAGACAGACAAAGAGACGAATGGACAGACAGACAGACAGACAGACAGACTAGGAGACAGACAGACAGACACACAGACACACAGACAGACACACAGACAGACAGACAAACAGACAAATAGACAGACAGACAGACAGATTAGGAGACAGACAGACAGACAGATAGACAGACAGACAGACCAACATCCCGACAGACAGACAGACAGATAGACAGACATCCCGACAAACAGACAGACAAACAGACAGACGGACAGGTGATAAGAAAGAAAGAAACAAACAAAGAAACAAAGAAACAAAGAAAGAAAGAGAAAGAAAGAGAAAGAAAGAACAAAAAGACAGAGAAAGAAAGAACAAAAAGAAAGAGAAA